GGATGGGGGAGTTTGGGGGGGGGAGGAACGTGACTGGCCGCACAGAGTCCTGACCTCAACCCCATAGAACACCTTTGGGATGAATTAGAGGCGGAGACTGCGAGCCCCTCCCCCAACATCAGTACCTGACCCCACAAATGGTCCAACATTCCCATAGACACACCCCTAAACCTTGTGGACGCCTTCCCAGAAGAGGCGGAGCTGTTATAGCGGCAAAGGGCGGAGCCAACCCAATACTGAACCCTACGGACTAAGACTGGGGGGCCATTAAAGTTCATGTGCGTGTAAAGGTGTCCCAATACTTGTGGTGATATAGTGCGTGTTCCGAGTTCCACATTGATCAGTATTTACACATCCACTGCAAGGCTCCGATCATGTGATCTCTGACAGCACCCCAGATGGGAGGAGCCTGAGGCTGCGGCGGTGTTGGGGGTTGGGATGGTTTTGTACTAATCTGACCGTTGACGATTCATTTACATTGAACTCACCATCACCAAAACCACATCCCCCGAGAGCCGAGGGACTATTCTCAGAACGATTTGTATATTAGACCTTCAGAGGCGTATACAAATATGAGGCCGGCCGAGCGATGTCCCGACTGCGGCTCCAGCTGGATTTTACTAAACAATTCCACTTTGCATGATTCTCCCAACGCCATTCCCCGCCTGTGAATTTGACTGAAACCACAAAACAGCCAAAGTGCTAAAGTTCCTTAAAGCTTTCAGTCTTCTATCTGACCTCCGTCCTCCCCTTCAGTCTTCTATCTGACCTCCGTCCTCCACTTCAGTCTTCTATCTGACCTCCGTCCTTCACTTCAGTCTTCTATCTGACCTCCGTCCTCCCCTTCACTCTTCTATCTGACCTCCGTCCTCCCCTTCACTCTTCTATATGACCTCCGTCCTCCCCTTCAGTCTTCTATCTGACCTCCATCCTCCGTGCACAGATGTCCCGCCTCCTCTCCTCTTCCTCTGATATCACTGCACACTGGGAGCTCCTCACAATGTGCATTAGAAGCTGCAGCAAGTCAGGTAGAGCTCCGCCTCATTTCCTGGCTGGAGAATGTCCAGCATCATCTAGCACTTTCCTCCCCAGCCAGAGTGTCTCTGCCTGAAGGAAGGGCCAGAGGATCGGCTTCAAGTCACTGACAACGTACACTTGGCCTCCGCCTACATCTGGGATCGGCCTCCAGCGCACTCATAACAAGGAATCACTGAGCAGCATCAGAAGAAGCAAAGACAACGACACAAAGAACAAACATTTCTACATTTTATTATTTAAAACTTTTGTGAACAATTTCAGAGAAAGAGAAAAATAAAAACGAATGAACGAAGGAATGGGAGGGGCTCTGGCAGGGGGGGAGGGGCTCCGGCAGGGGCGATGTACACAAGGAACTCCCCAAATTCAGGGCGTGGAATGAACTCATTGGCTGGGTCTGAATTCCATCAAGCGGATCGGCTTCACCGGTTCAAAAAGAGGAACGGAGCGCTGACCATCGGAATCCCAGGGGGCCCCTGATGTGTGCACACCAGACGTACAACCTCATCATGCTGTCTGCTCATCAAGTGTACACTACAGTGGAAGGAACTGGGATCAGCCTGTCCAGTCACTGGGAACACCAGCTGACATCAGTGGTTCCCAGAAAATGGGTAGGCTAGGGACTCCAACATGGCCGAATCCACTTTATATAAGCAAAAGGTATGTTCTACCCTAGTCCCGGCCTCACACAGGGGTGGAGAGCCCCTTTAGGTACTCAGTGTGGACTCCAGATGGATTTGGTCCATTTCTCTATTCCCAACATAGAAATCCTTCCTCGTACTCCGCCCTGCCGCTAGATTGATGTCCACATGAGGCCACCATGTTTTTACCACCATCAGCTCCTCAGCCCGGCCTCAGATGTTGGAAGGAATGTTAATGGTTCACCTTCCCCAAGCATGGAGGAACATTGTCCTGGAGGGGACAGAAAGGTGGGAGGGGTTCTGGGATCAGGACACGAGACGCTGCCGAGGTGACAGACGCGGGACAGGCAGAGGGATCTGGAGACGCCAAGTGATGAAGGATAGAAAGAGAGGATGAAGGTTCTGGAGATGAAGACAAAGGGAAGTTGTCACAAAACCTTTTCCAGGATCTGGAGATGGGAGGGAGAGAAGGTTGTAGGATCCGGAGATGGGAGGGAGAGAAGGTTGTAGGATCTGGAGATGGGAGGGAGAGAAGGTTGTAGGATCTGGAGATGGGAAGGAGAGAAGGTTGTAGGATCCGGAGATGGGAGGGAGAGAAGGTTGTAGGATCTGGAGATGGGAAGGAGAGAAGGTTGTAGGATCCGGAGATGGGAAGGAGAGAAGGTTGTAGGATCCGGAGATGGGAGGGAGAGAAGGTTGTAGGATCCGGAGATGGGAGGGAGAGAAGGTTGTAGGATCTGGAGATGGGAGGGAGAGAAGGTTGTAGGATCGGGAGATGGGAGGGAGAGAAGGGTGTAGGATGGGGAGATAGAGATGGGAGGGAGAGAAGGTTGTAGGATCTGGAGATGGGAGGGAGAGAAGGTTGTAGGATCCGGAGATGGGAGGGAGAGAAGGTTGTACGATCCGGAGATGGGAGGGAGAGAAGGTTGTACGATCCGGAGATGGGAGGGAGAGAAGGTTGTAGGATCTGGAGATGGGAAGGAGAGAAGGTTGTAGGATCCGGAGATGGGAGGGAGAGAAGGTTGTAGGATCTGGAGATGGGAAGGAGAGAAGGTTGTGGGGTGCGGGGGGAG